ACAACAGATAATGATGAAATCTCTTAATAATAATGAAATAACTAAATTAAATACTTATTATAACGCGACTATAATTTCATGGAATGATATTTGTTATTATCTTAACAATAAATAAATATTTAGATCCAAATTATAAAACAACGCAAAATTCTATTTTCCTTTTACCCTGTGCAACACTAATCGTAATGTTAAATTCAAACTATCACATTTTATTTAAAAACTTAACTTAATACACACAATCTAACGGCCGACTGGACACTTCTTTTTCCTTATAGCCATACTACAATTGGGACTTAGTGGAATCGTATAAAAATTGCTCTTACAGTTAGTTTTAATTATATTTTGTTAATTATTAAAAAATGTTACGATATTGTTGTATCGGTGGTTACACACGGCGACTTAGGCGACGCGTTTATATACGTTCAATCGCTTTTTTGTACCGATGCAGTCGCGCGCTTGCGTCGTTAAAGTGGGCGTGTGTAACCGCTATATAAAGAGGTTTATTTTTTAATTTTGACTGAAAAGGAAGCGTAAGGAGTTTAAGGAGTCAATTTGAGATACCACCATGTGTTTGGTACATCACTAGACAACAAACATGGCAATATTATTATTCCAGGTGACATTAGCAGCTGTCATTTTGCAATCTCTAATTTAAAAAATCTAATAGTAGCACGCCATAGACAAGGGAAAAGTTTCTGTATTCGCACGTAATTTTTTTTTATTTCGAGTCGTTTATGGCGATGGTTTCATACATTTTTATGTAAGGATATGATGTATGCCAGTATTATCGGCAGCGGTATTTTTTTTTCTTGTAACACTCCACATATGGACAGGGTGCCGCGGCCGGCCGTCTTCCTGCGTCAGTCTTTCTAATTGAGGATGATGAGTCTCGGCGGCAGCATGCCTCGCTTGCTGAGCCACACCCTGTATAACAATAAATAAAATGTTCATTTCAATTTTCATGTTAGTATATTTTTTTAACATGTTGCTCATTGAACGAATTCGTATAAGCGGCTTTGTGGGTTTTGTGTTATCATAATAATAATAATTAAATTAAAAATTAATATTCCGGGCCTTGGGAGAGGCGAGAATCTAAAATAGATGTCCAGAATAATAATAATTGAGTAGTTATTAAACTTGTTATTATTTAAATTAAAAGTTATCAACTAAGACTCTACATTATCGCATTAGTTACAACCTGTAATGACAGTTGCAAACAATGACAATTGACAATGACAATAAATAAACAAATATTATATTTGATTTTTTTTTGTAGCAATCCAGATTCTTTATTTCTATTGTTTGGCTTTGTAGGAGAGAAGGCCGGGAGATATATTTGTATGGCCTACATTCATTTCTTTTTTTGGGTGTTTTTTGGACGTAGGGCGAACCTAGTACGGGGCTATTAAAAAAAATAAATTAATGTTAGTCAATAAAGTAAGTATTTATGGGTCAATGTAACCTCGAGTATAAATAAATAAGTATATATTTGTATTCTAAAATTAATCGTTTGCTATATTTAGTTTTAAGGTGTTCCTAGCTTACGTTATTAAGATTGTAATAATTTAATCAAGTGTTGGTAAGTCTTAAATAAATAAATGGAACGGCGGGGAGGGGGGACTCACCCTATGCCGGCCCCCAGCAGCAGACTGAGCACGTTGGTGACCAGAACGGCGGCCACGGCGCGGCGGCTCCATAGGCAGGCGCGACGCACCGACAGCAGATGGCTCTGCGTTATAGAAAGCACACGCACGTTAGACCAGCCATTTCACACTATTTTCAATCATCTCTTTTAAGGTTGGTTTTTTAGTACTCTGTACTGAGATTATGTCGAGTATTATTGTTTCGGATGGATGTCGGACATAGAACGAGAGATCCCAGATTAGGTAGGCACAGCGAGCAATGGCTCCAGAGTACAACTCAAGCAGCGGTTCACTGACCTGTGTCATGGCGGGCGCGGTGAGCTGCTGCTCCAGCACTTCGATTGAGGAGGTGGCCGAGGGCGGGCCGCGTCCCGACACCGGGTGCTTGAACCGCCAGTCCCTGAAGCGGTACAAGAAAACCTAATTACTCCATGTGTTTATTTTAATATTAAATTATAGTAGTCATAATAACTGCAACCTGCATTTCAACTGCAATTTGACAATTGTAATGCATTTCAAGTGCTGTTTGTGTGACTATACCCTAACTTCTTACAAATTTTGCTGAATTAAGGGGAGATTCAGTTGTTGACATAAAAATGTCTACCACGACACTTGATATTAATCTACATCGTTTTTTTTTTTTTCGTAGAGTTACATAAATCTTAAATGCAACATACGTTGCTTGTGTTGTGGAAATCGGAAACTACAACAGTACTACAAACACGCAGACCCGAGAATGAAGAAATAGTTTCCACATTGACCAGACCGGGGATCAAACACGAACCTTAGAGATAGCGACACCATGAAAACCGTTGTCCAAGTCACTCGATCCTGGAGGTCGTTAAGACTGAGATCTTAAAGCGTCATAATCATACGAGCTACATTTCAACAGCATTAAAATTGCAAAATTGCAATTGGATTGCAATCGGAAAGTATTATTACTTTACTATGCAGTCGGTGTTACTGCATCACAACTACTAAGTTCAGTGTCGGTTGGTATTGTGCTAGTTAGCAGGTTGCAATGCAGTTGCTATTCGAAACCAAATTTCGAGTTATTCACTATGAATATTACTAATTACAGGTTTCTTACCACGGTATTAGATCTCTTTGTTTTCCCGATATTTCGGAACGGGTTGACTCCTTAACAAGAAAACAAAAAGAAATCGCACCTAGGTAAGATAATTGTACAGTGCTTCTGTTTTCTCAATGTCCCTCGGCAATCATCGGATTTCCGAATGCACACCAATGTTAATTTCCATGCTCATTAATTATTACATTTAAAATCTTTAACAATTTGAATTTTGAACGCCGTACTTTATTGTTTTGATTTCTGTGTAAACTATATAAAGATGTAAAATTATTTCCTTAATAACATTTACTCATATGTCAATAAGCAAAATAAAGTAAACTTGGCAATTTCGACATGCGATGATGCTTTACGTAGGAGGTGTCGAAACTATCGATATAATTATTAACTTTACATTATTGTGTTTAATTGTCAGATACACCTAAATTAATATTTTTGTGATAACGTAACTTGGGCAAATGAATAGGAATAACATTAAATATAAGAAAAAAAAGTATTCTGCCATATTATTACGGTGACAACTGCGCTCCGATTGGCCAGCCCGAATTCGAAACAATTGACGGGAGTCGTCAAATGTTTCACTTCAAATGGAGTAGTTTAAATTAAGCTTTTCTATAATGGACGAAAATTTAAAATAATGATTTCGTTTATTGCAAAACATGTTGTTACATTTAGATCTTGTAGTAGTTGGTAAAGTATGAAACATGTAAGGGTACATGTTTGCAGAAATGCCAATTTTTAACATATACATTATTACAATGAAAATAAATAAATTTAAGTAAATATGTTCAGAAAGTCATATGATTTAATTTTAAAAAGATTGTCTAATTTAAATCTAAAGTATTTTAAAAATAAATCAATTTATTTATCAATAATTAATCAATTAAAAATTAATTGCTTATTAATTAATCGTCAAATTATCTTATTATTATTATTATATAATAATAATAACATTTGTCAATTAAATCTTCGTAATTACTGCGTTTATATACTCCGTGACATTGTTATCCTGCATTTATTTCATTAAATTACATAATTATAACTACATAATTAATATTTAATTACCGATGAAATGTGATTCCGTTTATTTTGTAATTAGATGTTTTGCTATGTTTCCACACCACCGAATGGAACAACACGCCATTGTTGGAGATATTATCTTTATTACAATAAATACAGAATATTTTTGGAATATACGGAGACGTACACACATGTCAGTCGTTGGCGCTGTAGTATTTCAGCTTTCTAATTTGTGATTTCAGCGCAAACGAGAGTTGATATTTAAATGTAAGTGATATAAGGCCTATTTGCCTGATTAATTGGCCTTATTTAGTTTCTGGTTATATACTCGATGATAATTCTCGACGACAGCCGAAACACGAAGTTGCGTTTTTCTATTCTCTCAATGTCCCTACATTGAGAAAATAGAAGCACTACAATTATATAGTGATAATTATTTAAATAGTGTGTTTACGCTCTTAAAGGCGTCACTCACTTTGGCGGCAGCTGGTCGGGTCGACTGCTCCATTCCCACACCCAGTCGTTGGACTCATCCTGGAATTGTACACAAAAAAATAAACAATCACAAAACGTACATAAACTGTAAGCGCCAGGCGTCGAATTTAACGTAAACAAAGAATTTACATACAAAATAGGTCGTACTTCATGGAATTAATACATATAGAGTGGACCTTGGAATTGTTGGAAATAAACGAACTATGTGAAAACGCGTTTGCGATGTTTTCACTCTAAGCCGACGATATACGAGGTATACAAAAATATAGCAAATCAACTCAGACGTTATAGCGTTACTTATGCACTCTTATTGTAATGCATGTTCATCTTAAGCAAATTTTCTAAACTGTATTCTGTAGCTAGGTCATAAACAAATCTCACCCTCCAGCAGTTGATGTAGACGCCCTTCAGCTCATCTTCAGTGGAGGGTTCAAGGTTAGGGCTGTTGGGAGGCGATTTTGGGCTGCGAACAATGAAATAAAAAAATAAAATATATAATCAGCGGTATCTTAGGGCGCTTTCAAATTAGACGCTTGTAGAAGCGCAGCAGTGGTGCATCTGGCGCTTTAGTAATTTTTAGTTCACTAATTGTGACTGCAAAAGTGATGCGTTCGTGTCACGACAGTGGCGCTGATACTGCGCTTCTAAATATTGTATGAAATTTAGTAGTGGCACGGCTGTAGCGCTTTTATAAACGTCTAATTTGACGCCGTTAAGTTTGTTTTTTCCGACATTTGAATTTTTTTTATAGTTTATTGGTTCACTTACAGTTATTACTATGTAACATACTATAAATTCAATTTGATGAAGTTCTTATCTAAATTGAAAAACACATCTTGCAAAAACAACGTAAAATGTAAATTATATAGAATTTAAATCCAGCAACTTAAATTTTTTTAAAAGTAATACAAACAAAACCAATAGATACAATTCTCGGACAGCAGCAAACTAGATGGCGGAAAAAAAACAAAAATTAATTAAGGTTTAACATAGCACTAATGCGACATTTGTGCAGCGACTGCCAAAATATATCGCAAACGTGACTGTGCTTATTATACATATAGTCTGCAGAGAATTTGGAGCACCATAGCGACATCTCTTTACATTTTTTTAACCTAAATGTTTGTCTGTTTTATCGACTGTGAGACTATAGTGCTAAACTGTTTGGATTATAAGTTAGTCTTCCAATTAGACGCACACGAGTCTCGAGGCGACAGCCTCGTGTTTGTAGCACTTCAGTAAGTTTAAGTTTTGTAGTCAATTGGGACTGCGAACGTGCCACGCGGTATGCGTGTATGCGTGTCATGAAAATTAGTAGTGGCACGGCTTCATGGCTTCTATAAGCGTTTAATTTGAAGGCGCCTTTATAGTCGAATTTTTGATTGATTATTCATTTAAAAAGTCATCACTTAGTCGCAAAAAACTAGATTTAGTCAGCCCGCCGTGTCAAAGGGTATTTTACTGTCCACTTTGGAATACCGGAGGCATCAGTTTTCAATCTCCAGAACTACAGCACTTTGCTTAGATCTGATTGCACTAAAAAAGCCGTGATTTGATCGGTTCTAGTCGTGAAAAAACTGGAATAAACTTTTTTTTGAGGGGCACTGCCACTGCACCCTGCGGCAGTACTTCCCTGGACGAGCTCTTTCACACGGAGCTCTACTGCTCTTAATAATAATAATAACACTGTTGCTGATGGGACTGCCAAGCTGATGTAGTGCATCGGGTATGTTGGCGGTGGCTCACACGAACAGCTTCCAGGCCATCGTGCGCAAAATGATTGTCTCGCTGATGAGTAGCGTGAGGCTGAGTGCATTCTAAATGCTATAGCGGGAAGGTATGATTGTCCTAGCCAGAAACATCGGATAGTGCAAGTTAAGGCGTAGCCCAGTTTGAAATACAATTTAGTTGCACTGAGTATTACTAACCTTGATATAAGTTCTTTTACTAACATACTATGGATATTTCATGGTCCGAAATGAAGAATTATTATTTAGGAAATGAAACTATTTTTCCGGATTTAAATCGCGTATATTTATTTTTTCAAACAAACCGACGTTTCGGGCCCTTTACAGGTCCCATGGTCACGGTTGACTGAGGTGGTACAGTCTTCAACCAGTTATGTCTAATATTGATGCAAACCAACCATATTTTTTTCTATAGTTACAATAGTTATTAATTAAATAACTTATTTTTAATTTTACAAAGAAAACATTCCAATTTACGCTATATTAAGTTTTACAAATTATTTTATTGAATGAATTTTTATTAAGTTCAGTTTATTATTAATTATTAATAGAAATTAGAATAAACTAAAACATATTAATTAGTGGAGGTACCACCAGTTTGGGATCCAGTATTTCCTCTGATGAAAAATCCCAAACAGACATAAGACTGCAGTACTAATTAATATGTTTTAGTTTATTCTAATTTCTATTAATAATTAATAATAAATTAAACTTAATAAAAATTCATTCAATAAAATAATTTGTAAAACATAATGTAGCGTAAATTGGAATGTTTTCTTTGTAAAATTAAAAATAAGGTATTTAATTAATAACTATTGTAACTATAGTGAAAAAATAGGGTGGTTTGCATCAATATTAGACGTAACTGGTTGAAGACTGTACCACCTCAGTCAACCGTGACCATGGGACCTGTAAAGGGCCCGAAACGTCGGTTTGTTTGAAAAAACAAATATACGCGATTTAAATCCGGAAAAATAGTTTCATTTCCTATGTGTAACAATCGCGAAAACCTAAGAACTCGATAAGAATTATTATTATTATTATTTCACAAGGAGATCTACTGACACTTAAACTTACGTAACGCATTTTGTCGGCAACATTTTTAACCGACTTCAAAAAAGGAGGAGGTTCTCAATTCGACTGTATGTTCTTTTTTTTTGTATTTATGTTACGCGATAACTCCGGTATTTGTGAACCAATTTTCATGATTCTTTTTTTGTTGGAAAGGGGGTACTTCCATAGTGGTCCCATTTCATTTTGAAGAAAATCATCCACCTTTAAGGATGGCTGTTCACGCATGAAGATTAATTTTTATAAATAGCGCCTAACTTTAATTGAGGAGCAATTATTTCAATGGTTGATTTTGCTATTTCTCCAATTCAAGGCGTTTTTCTCTCAATATACTTTGAGTAGTGAGAACCGATTCTTATTATCTCCAGTGTCAAGTCCTGTATAGTGGCGAATTTAAGGATATTTCAATAAAACTTAGCAAATAGACATAATTCCACGTACTTTTGAAGTCGGTTTTTTAGTACTCTGTACCGAGATTATACAACAACCACAGCTCCTAGCTAAGATCTAATTACACGTAGAAAAAGTCGTGAATTAGTCGGTTCTAAACCTGCAAGTCGATGATGGATCACAACCCATGGTAAACGCGTAAAGTCAAGCCGCCTATTGTTGATATTTTATACGGCAATACAATAAGCACATTGCGGATGTAGGATATATAACGTGACATTTAAATCCATAGTTGTGGTTTCGGACGCCTTTCAAATGCCCTGCACGCAATGTGATACTCAACCCGGGTACCAAGGCTAAGGAACGTCGTGCACCTGGTGCTAAGCGACACGCTTACCCACAGCAGTTGCAGTGCCACTCAAAACTTTAGATCACAAAGATCTGTCACCCTGAGACAAGTTGACAAGTCTTAATACAAATGTTACATTGATATTTCTAATTAAAGGTCAGCATTGGGCATCGTCAATAGGTACTAAAATAAAAATAAAAAAC